TGATAGGTGAAAATGATACTACATTGCTTTTTTGCATTATTCTAATCATGACAGAAGTTGAACATTTTTAAAAAGTTTTTTTTTGGGTATTTTCTGTTTACTGTCATTTTGTGATTTTGGCATACTTTAAAACAATGGGTTATTTAAATTTTTCTTATAGATTTTAAAGTTATTTGCATATAAAGTAAAATAGCCCTATTTCTATCTTGTGTTTCAAGTGTTCTTCCTAGTTATTTGTGTTTGGTCATGTTTTTTATTTTTATTTTTTTGTATATAGATTTGGTAAGTTTTTCCCCCTTGTTTTTTCATGAAAAATTTCAAACATAAAGTATTGAAAGAATAATGCCACGAACATCTGTGCACTCTTTGCTTAGTGTCAGTAGTTGTTAACCTTTTGCCAGGTTTGCTTTATTTCTTTCCAAACATGTTCATATCCCACCTGTATTATTTGAAAGCAGAATGCAGACACAATGACATTTTCAACCCTAAATGATTCTGCGTGACTCTCTTAAGAACTGTCTCCTTCATAACCAAATTACCACTATCTCAGACAATTAGCAGGCTTCCCTGGTGGCTCAATGGTAGAGAATCTACCTGCCAATGCAGGAGATGTGTGTTCGATCCCTAGGTCAGGAAGATGCAAAGATCCCTAGGTCAGGGTTGCAAAAGGAAATGGCAACCCACTCCAGTATTCTTGCTTGGGAAAATTCCATGGACAGTGGAGCCTGGCAGACTACAGTTCATGGGGTTGCAAGGAGTCAGACACGACTTAGTGACTAAACAACAACAAGGTGGTTAGAACTTCCCTGGTTATCATCCTAATGTATGGCCTATATATAAAATTTCATAATTTTCCTTAGAGTGTCTTAATGCTTCCCTGGCACCTCAGATCCATCCATATTTCACATGTTGCATTTGGTTGATGTATCACTTTAGTTAATCTTTGGACTGAGGAATGTCTTCTCTTGGTTGTTTTTTTGTAAACATGTTGACTTTTTAAAAACAGCTTTATTGCAATATAGTTGACCTACAATAAACTACACATATTTAATGTGGAGAGTTTGATGGGTCTCGACATGTATGTACCTGGGAAACCATCATGACAATAAGATAGTGATTATATCCATTCATCCCTTTCCTGCCAATTTCCTCATTCCCCTACATACTCAGGTTTCTATAATTGTACACTTTCACTGGCTAGATAAATCCTAGCTTGACGATCATTTTTTGTTTCAGTCCTTTAGAGATAATGCTCTCCTATTTTCTCACTCATTTTGATTCTGACAGTAAATCTGCCTTCATTCTTATCTTTGTTCCTCTGTACATAATGTCTTTTCTGCTGGTTGCTTTTGAACATTTTGATTGTGACATGTCTTGTAGTTTTTTCATGTTTCTTGTGTTGGAGTTCATTGAGCTTGGATGCGTGGGGTTTATGGTTTTCATCAGATTTGGAAATTTTGCTCATTAGTTCTTCACATACTTTTCCTGTCCCCACTTTGCTTTCCTCTCCTTTGAGGACTCCAGTTTTGTTGTGTATTTGGCTGGTTGAAGCTGTCTCACGGCTCACTGATGTTCTTTTTATTTTTAAAATTCTTTTTTCTGTCTCTGTGTTGTGTTTTGGATAGTTTCTGTTGCTTTGTCTTTTCTTCCATTATTACATTATAATGAGGCCTACTACTGTGTCCTTTTATTAGTGTATTTGAAATATTTTTCATATCTGTAGTTTCTATGGCACTGCCCTTTTTAGCTGTGAACTTAACTATGGACTGAATGTTTGCAGCCCTCCAAAATTCATGTGTTGAAATCCTAATCCCCACTGTGATAGTATTAGGCACTGAGGCCTTTGGGAAATAACTGGATTATAAGGTTGGAGCCCTCATGATTGGGATTAGTGTCCTAAACAGAGGCAGGAGAGCCTGTGTTCTCTGTCTGCTCTCCAGAGATACAAGGAAATGGGTCATCTACAAGCCAGGAAGTGGGCTCTCACAGACACTGAATCTGTTGCCTACCTCATCTTGGACTCCCCCAGCTCCAGGTCTGTTAGAAATAAATACTTGTCATTTAAGCCACACAATCTATGGTTTATCTGTTGCAGCAGCTGGAATGGACTGAAACTTTAGACAGTCACTTTTATATTGGTCTTTCTGCCTCCAGGCTGCTCTTACGGTTTATTTTTTGTACACTGCTGCTCTGTCTCTCTCCTTTTAAAGCATGGGTTTGATCAGGTCATTTATCTCACTCAGCCCTTTCAGTAACTACCTGTTTTAGTCTGTTTGGGCTGCTATAAATAAATACCATCGACTGGGTGGCTTATAAATAACAGAAAACTATTTCCCACAGTTCTGGAGGCTGGGAAGTCCAGAATCAGGGTGTTGGTATATTTAGTGTCAAGTGAGGACCCACTTCTTGGTTCAAGGACAGCCATCTTTTCACTGTGTCCTCACATGGTGGAAGGAGACAAGGGAGCTCCCTGCGGCCTCTTTTGTAAAGGCATTAATGCCATCCTGAGGGTTCTTCCATCATGATCTGATAATCATTGCCTCAAGGCCCCACCTCCAAATACCCTCACATTGGGAGTTATTTTTTCAACATAGAAATTTAGGGGTTACCAAACATTCAGTCTGTGGTACCACCACTTGCTTACAGAAAGTGAAAGTGTTAGTCGCTCTGTGGTGTCGGACTATGCAACCCCATGGGCTGTAGCACACCAGGCTCCTATGTCCATGAGATTGATTTTCCAGGCAAAAACACTGGAGTGGGTTGCCAAAATATAGTCAAATTGTTTATAGCATACTCCAGCCATGTTATGGTTGCATTTTTTTCTTTCAATCTTAATCTTACTCTTTTGTTTCTGTGTGTGTCCTGTAGGAAGAGTGGATGGCAGTTAAAAATGAAGAACCTAGAGTCAGATTGGCTGGATTTGAATCTTGGCATTACAACAACTTGAATCTGTGTGTTTTATTTAAACTAAGTGTCAGGGACCTGAACTGGAAGATAGGCTTAATGATGGGATGTAATGACAGTGCTATTTATAAAGTGCTTAGTACAGTGTCTGGCATGTAATAAAATTGCCACAACTATTAACTTTTAGTATTCATTTTTTTCTTGGCTTTCCTGTTTCCTTGCATACACTCATATGCATACTCATTCCTTTTTTGTATGGAACTCCCTTTGTTTCTACTCTCTTTCCATTTGAAAGCCTACCCATCTTAAAATACTCGGGTCAAATGCTGTTTTTTGCAGGTTCTCCTTTAGTATCAGCATTGATTTTCATACTAGATCTTTTACTTTCATGTTGTAGTGTCTGTACCTAATTGTCTTCCTGTGTTTTAAGCTTGTTGAAAGCAAGGACTGTATGTCATTTATGTCTTTGATGGCATCTGGCATGGTACAAATGATTGCCTCATGTTTATTGAATGTGTGAATAAATCATGGTTCTACTTTGCCATAGTTATTGTTTGACTTAAACAATAACTGTTAAAGTTGCCTGTTAAAGTTAATTGCATTTAAATAATAATATTTCTAGTTTCTAATGTTTTTAGTTAAATTATACCTTTTCAAGCTTAACACAGTAGTCAGGCACACTAGTTACTGGTGTTTATGAGAGTTCTCTTACAAAGTATACTTAATATCAAAATAAAAATTCAGTGAGGAGTAATTTCTCTGTCATTAAACCCCTTGTGAACCAGAAAGTTAGGCACAGGACTCCTGTCATGCCCAGCATATTAAACTCAGTACTGGTAAGGTGGTGATGCAGAGGAAGCACACCCATCTTTAATGGAAATGGTTGGAGACAGACATGGAGTTCATAGGAATTAAACATGCTTCTGACCCAAAATGACCTCTTTTTCTTAAGCATTAGGGCTTCAAATAATCTGCTTTTAGGAAATCTCATTACAGTGAGATTAAGTTGAAGGAAGAGCAGGGATCCATCAGTTGAGAGGATCTGAAACTTAAAAAGTGTTACTGTGATTAGTCAGTATACCCTTTACTAAACACTACGCAGTTTTAAAACTGGAGTCCTTGAAAGAAAAAGAAATAATAAAGGTGGGAAATGATAGGAGAAAAGGCAAGTTGAATTATTTCGCTTTCTTCTTTCACTGGATTGTGAACTTTTGGAGGGCAAGGACCATATCTTGCTTGTGTCATAGGACTTCATGCAGTAAATACTTGTTGAATGGAGTAGTAACACCGTCTAATGTGGAACTTCTCTGCTGTCTTGCAGAAAGCATTGCCTTGAGTTGTATGCCCCAGTGTGATTTCACAAAGTCTTTTATGAAAAGGAAGAAAATAAAATCAAAAGCTGTATACAGATTTTTAAGAACAATTTTCTTTTTCTGTGAGTGAAAATGCCTCTTCTCTGAAAGTGCCTGGAGTTGTTAGCCCAAGGTCCTGAGACTGTTACTGTTGTCATGGAAAGCCCATGAAAGTGTCCCCCTGGTCCCTCCTAGACCCCGATTATAAACTGGTGACTTTTAAGTTGAAATACATTCTTCTGGGTTTAACATTTTATTCAATTGTTTTTTTATACCGTTGGAGGGAGTAGTTTCTATAAATGTGAAGGTGGAAAGCTAAAAAGTTTTTTCCATTCTTGGTGCTTGTCCAAGATACAGGTTTTATTGAATACTTCCAGTTTTTTTGTATGCATTTTTAAAGAGGATAATATAGATAAGAGAATTTAGGATACTTCACTTAACAGGCAAGGTAAATAATAGGTACATGGTAACATTATTAAGTTTATTGTTAAAATAGCAAAGGGATGTTGTAGAGGTAGAAAGTAGAAGGGAGATTACTTAAAATTTTATGGTTATTCCTAGAGAACTGTATATTCAGAAGTTAGTCTGCCTGTACATTGTTGATATCTTTAAATGATCTTTAGCTTAAAATTCTCCTTTAAAAAGTTTTTTTAATAGAAAATGTCAAGATAACAATGACTTATTGAGTGAATATTTAAAATAAAACATTGTCTGCTCCTGTTAAAAATAATGTGTTGAAATCAGTGTGTTCTAGGTCAATGGCTTCTAAGACTCCAGTTGGATTCATTGGAGTCGGCAACATGGGGAATCCAATGGCAAAAAATCTCATGAAACATGGCTATCCACTTATTATTTATGATGTGTTCCCTGATGCTTGCAAAGAGTTTCTAGATGCAGGTGAACAGGTAAGGCGTTTTCTTAAGTTTCTTTTAAGATTGATGTTTAAAAATGTTTTTCAGACTTTGGTGTTTGACATGCAAGTAAGTAATAGCTGTTTGGAAGTATACATGATGGATTTGTAAAGTTAACTCATTGTTAATTTTATTTTTTTATATGTAGGATTACATATGTATATATTATATAATATGTAAAATACATGTACACACACACACATACACATGGGAGACTGTGTACTGGTAACCAAATTTAGAGGTTCCTCCCCTGCCAAGATATGAAGGAAATTCTTCTTGTATAAGGTGTAGCGTGGTAACTGAGGGCTGGATGCAATCCCAGAGCTGGGTGAATACTAAAAAATACTGAGAAACATAGAAAAAAGTTAGAGAACAAATAAACTTCTAGATAACAGACTTGAAATAAATGCTGAGAAGACACACTGTGTATGTAAAGAGCAGGTTTAGGTAACTTGGAGGCCATTTGTAGAACTGGATACCCTCTGTCTCCTTCTCCCTTATGGTTGGTGTGCCGGATGGGGGTGGCTAGTGTTGTGTGAGGATGTGTGAGTATCATGTTGGAACTTTGCAGGGTAGGGTTGCGGCTGCTTAGGCCCATATAGTCACAGGATGTTGACAGTGTGCTACCAGGCTTACTGATGCTCTTAAGTAGCTTCGGGACTTAGACTTGTTGGAGAGATTTGATCAGTTCTTTGTTCTGGGAAAGGTTGGCCATTACCATCTTCAAGGGTGGACAGGAGTTCCAAGTTGATATTCAGTCTGGGGTGAATTAATTGTTTTTTTCAGGAGATGAATATTACTTTTTGGGATAACACATCTTTGATGTTGGCGCTTTCCAATAGTTTATGTATTTATTTGTAAAAATAACAATGGTACATAATCTCTAAACAGAGGAAATATCTATTAAATACAGAATTTAATCAAAGTAACAATAGGAAATTCTTTTGGCATTTTGGAGACTAACAATCCAGAAGTTTTCATCTGTGTGTGTGTTTATGAAAAATCTCATGAATTCCTCTTCCTCCCCCTTCTAGTAATAGAAAGGTAGAAATTGAATGGAAGCTGATTTACCGTGGACTGGCAGAGCAGATGCTTAGGGTGTTCAGATTGTTTCTAATGCCCTTATTCTTCCCTCTGTTCCTGTAGCACTGAACAGCTTGCCTGTGGAGAACTGAAACGTTCATCATCCCTTTGTGAATCTCTGCTGCTGCTTCCCAGATTGCTGGAGCTTTCTTATGCTCTGCCTGAATTGCCTCAGACTCTGAAGAGTGTGAGGCATTCCCTAACAAAATTCTGGTTTTTTTAGTGTTGCTAATTTTGGGTAGATGTGAAGGAAGGTTACCTTAAGAATAAGACTTATACTTGAGTGAAGGAGACATTTACATTTTAAAGGGGAGAGAAAAGAAACTAATATTTAACGAGTCCCTACTATGTGACAGGTCTCTTACTAAATATTTTGTACATATTATCTAATTTTATCTTCGCAACAGAAGTATTTTCAGGAAACTGATGCTTGGAGAAGTTAAATAACATCCCCAAGTTTACACAGTGAGTGAATGGCAAGAGCCAGGATCTGAACAAAGGTCCATCTTTGACTTTGGAGTTTTAACTCTTTTAATTATACAACATATAGTCACTAACTAATGAAATATATGTATGAGACATTTTTAAGTGTATCTGTGGTGTGTCTTCCTTGATGATTCTGAAATAAGCTACCTATTAACCTATCTACAACCTAGACTACTAGACAATAAAATGCCTAGATTTCTTTTGGATCAGATGATGTCAGGGCAGTAATGATTGTATAAATGATTGTATACCACACCCTACTTAATATGTTGTTCTGCACCCTTGAAATTTGTTGGAAGTAAATAATAGTTATCTATTACGATAGATTATATAGTTTGTGAGTATACAGTAGGTTGAGTAGTAGCTCCCCAAAAAAGTAACTTACTTAGAAAACTCTTAAAACATGAGGGTAAATCTTTATGACATTAGATTTGGCAAAGGACTTTTAGGTATGATACCCAAGATCATGAGCAACAAAATAAAAAAGACTTCATCAAAATTAAAACCTTTTGTGCTCCAAAGAACATCACCAAGAAAGTGAAAAGATAACCCACAGAATGGGATTAAATATCTGCAAATCATGTATCAAGAAATACCTGGAGTAACAGGCAAATTTGGCCGTGGAGTACAGAATGAAGCAGGGCAAAGGCTAATAGAGTTTTGCCACGAGAACGCACTGGTCATAACAAACACCCTCTTCCAACAACACAAGAGAAGACTCTACACATGGACATCACCAGATGGTCAACACCGAAATCAGATGGATTATATTCTCGCAGCCAAAGACGGAGAAGCTCTATACAGTCAGCAAAAACAAGACCAGGCGCTGACTGTGGCTCAGATCATCAACTCCGTCTTGCCAAATTCAGACTGAAATTGAAGAAAGTAGGGAAAACCACTAGACAATTCAGGTGTGACCTAAATCAAATCCCTTATGATTATACAGTGGAAGTGACAAATGGATTACAGGGATTAGATCTGATAGATAGAGTGCCTGAAGAACTATGGATGGAGATTTGTTACATTGTATAGGAGGCAGTGATCAAGACCATCCCCCTGAAAAAGAAATGCAAAAAGGCAATGGTTGTCTGTGGAGGCCTTACAAATAGCTGAGAAAAGAAGAGACGCAAAAGGCAAAGGAGAAAAGGAAATATATACCCATTTGAATGCAGAGTTCCAAAGAATAGCAAGGAGAGGTAAGAAAGCCTTCCTCAGTGATCAGTGCAAAGAAATAGAGGAAAACAACAGAATGGGAAAGACTAGAGATCTCTTCAAGAAAATTAGAGATACCAAGGGAACATTTCATGCAAAGATGGGTTTGATAAAGGACAAAAATGGTATGGACCTAACAGAAGCAGAAGATATTAAGAAGAGGTGGCAAGAATACACAGAAGAACTATACAAAAAAGATCTTCAGGACCCAGATAATCACGACAGTGTGATTGTTCACTTAGAGCCAGACATCCTGGAATGTGAAGTCAAGTGGGCCTTCGGAAGCATCACTACCAGCAAAGCTAGTGGAGGTGATGGAATTCCAATTGAGCTGTTTCAAATCCTGAAAGATGATGCTGTGAAAGTGCTGCACTCAGTATGCCAGCAAATTTGGAAAACTAAACAGTGGCCACAGGACTGGAAGAGGTCAATTTTCATTCCAATCCCAAAGAAAGTCAGTGCCAAAGAATGTTCAAACTACTGCACAATTGCACTCATCTCACAGCACTAGTAAAATAATGCTCAAAATTCTCCAAGCCATGCTTCAGCAGTACGTGAACCATGAACTTCCAGATGTTCAAGCTGTATTTAGAAAAGGCAGAGGAACCAGAGAGCAAATTGTCAACATCGTTGGACCATTGAAAGAGCAAGAGAGTTCCAGAAAAACATCTATTTCTGCTTTGTTGACTATGCCAAAGCCTTTGTGTGGATCACAACAAACTGTGGAAAATTCTTCAAGAGATGACCTGGCTCATGAGAAATCTGTATGTAGGTCAAGAAGCAACAGTTAGAACTGGACATGGAACAACAGACTGGTCCTAACTCGGGAAATGAGTACATCAATGCTGTATATTGTCACCCTGCTTATTTAACTTCTGTGCAGAGTACATCATGCAAAATGCTGGACTGGATGAAGCACAAGCTGGAATCAAGATTGCCAGGAGAAATATCAATAACCTCAGATATGCAGATGACACCACCCTTATGGTAGAAAATGAAGAAGAACTAAAGAGCCTCTTGATGAAAGTGAAAGAGGAGAGTGAAAAAGTTGGCTTGTAGCTCAACATTCAGAAAACTAAGATCAAGGCATCTGGTCCCATCACTTCATGGCAAATAGATGGGGAAACAGTGGAAACAGTGAGAGACTTTATTTTTTTGGGCTCCAAAATCACTGCAGATGGTGACTGCAGCATGAAATTAAAGGACTCTTGCTCCTTGGAATAAAAGCTATAACCAACCTAGACAGCATATTAAAAAGCAGAGACATTACTTTGCCAACAAAGGTCTGTTTAGTCAGGGCTGTGGTTTTTCCAGTAGTCATGTATGAATGTGAGAGTTGGAGTATAAAGAAAGCTGAGTGCCGAAGACTTGATGCTTTTGAACTGTGGTGTTGGAGAAGACTCTTGAGAGTCCCTCAGACTGCAAGGAGATCCAACCAGTCGATCCTAAAGGAAATCAGTCCTGAATATTCATTGGAAGGACTGATGCTAAAGCTGAAACTCCAGTACTTTGGCCACCTGATGCAAAGAACTGACTCATTTGAAAAGACCCTGATGCTGGGAAAGATTGAAGGCAGGAGGAGAATGGGATGACAGTGGATGAGTTGGTTGGATGGCATTACCGACTCAATGGACTTGAGTGTGAGTAAATTTCGGGAGGCCTGGCATGCTGCAGTCCATGGGGTCGCAAGGAGTCGTACACGACTAAGCGACTGAACTGAACTGAAATCATGTATCTGATAAGGGCTTGTATCTAGCATGTGTAAAGAAGCTGTGCAACTCAAACAGAAGGACAAATGACTCAATTAAGTGGGCAATGGATCTGAATAGACAATTCCCCAAAGAAGGTATTCAGACAGCCAGTATACACATGAAAAGATGCTAATATCTTTCGTCATTAGAGAAATGCAATCAAACTCACAATGAGATTTCCACACCCCCTAGGTTGGCTAGAATCACAAAATCAGATGACAAGTGTGAAAAAATTGAACTCTCACACACTGCTGATGAGAATGTAATTCTACTCCTAGGTATATGTGAAAGAGAATAAAAACACGTGCCCACACAGGAACTTGTATATGAGTGGCAACATTATTCATTATAGCCAAAAGACAGAAACAACCTAGATGTCCCATCAGTGATAAGAAAAATGTGGTATACCCATATGATGATATATTATTCCACCATAAATAGGAATGAAGCAGTGACACATGA